ACTTTAAGAAGAATGTGGATAACCACAAGAGGGTCCAGAGCAGGGCCACTTGTATGGTTAAGGGTTTGCAGGCCATGCCCTATGAAGAGAGACTAAGGGACCTGGATTTCTTCAGCCTCCACAAGAGAAGGCTGAGAGGTGATCTTTGGGGGGCAGGGAATGACGGACACAGCAAGGAATCGGAGATGCTCTATTCACCAGGTTGCCTCTTGGGGTAACAAGGAACAACGGTCACAAACTAACAGAGAGCAGATTTAGGCTGGACATCAGGAATAATTTCTTCACAGTAAGGGTGGCCAGAAGTTGGAATGGGCTTCCAAGGGAGGTGGTGCTCTCCCCTACCTTGGGGGGGTCTTTAAGAGAAGGCTGGATAGGCATCTGGCTGGGGTCCATCTGACCCCAGCACTCTTTCCTGCCCAGGGCAGGGGGTCAGACTCAATGATCTGTTGAGGTCCCTTCAGACCCTAGCATCTATGAATCTAAGACTTGTAAGAATGTGTTAAAGTGGATATTTAAAGTACATCAAGAATAAAAAAAGATGCAGATTGTGTCATACCAAAAGAGGTAACCCTGATCCACTGCCAGAACTCTGTGACTGGTCAATAAGATCCTTTAAAGATTCTCCAGCTGGTATAAATGCTTCATCTTGCTCCAAATCACGATTATAACAACGTCTCTTTGCTACCCATTTACAGTAATGCCTATAAAAGAAAAAAAACACAGCACTTTATAATATAATTTTACAATTTTTTAAAAGTAGTCGGCTAAGAAAAGCTACATGTGCACCTTATTTTTTTTTAAATGAACAATTTTTATTACATATTCATCTTCTAGTTTTAGAAGATGGCGTGAAGAATATTTAGAATTTTGTATGAAGATATTCCAGGATTCATGTGGACACACCAATTTTTATGAAACAAACAACATTTTCAAGATTTGAAATTCAAAATTATGCTGGTAATTCCTAAATTAGTATTGTCATTTCATCCTGGCCTATGCCAACTGCCAACCATCATAAGGTAGGATTTGGTAATTGTAGTAGAGTCCAAATGAACTCATGTTTATCTGGATAATGACTGAAATATCACTGATGTTAGCACTTCGAGCTCAAAATGGATGTTTCATTAGAATTTTTTTCCCTCTTTTCCGTTTCTATTAACTAATATATAAACAAGGCACACAGGCTAATACAGGAATCATTTGCACATAATTTTAATAAAGATACATTTTGCATATTACATTCTATTGTTGCAGCACACTGATTTATAACAACTTGGCTCATGAACTAAACCCAAACAGGGTACACAATAAGCACTGTTCTTGGAAGTGTGGTATTTTTGCTTACGGAGTTGTATAGTGCCAACATGGTACAGTGTTCAGAAAAACAGCACAGTTTTCACACTGTTCTACCACAGAATGTTAATTTTGATGAAATTTCACTTAGCATGTTAATTTCTATAGTTTTGACTAAGAATACTATATACCAGTGTCCATAGTAATATAATGTTAAATTTAAGTGGCTATGAATTTTAACTAAATGCACCTTCAGAATGAGATGCTGTTTTGTATAAAATCATGTACAAACCAAATTGTTAGTGCTAAAGCAAATATGCCTCCTTACTTGTAACAAAAGCAGCTAAATAAGATGATCATAACAATTATGCAGACTGCCATAGAAATCAACACCGCCATCCAACGAATGCTGCCATCAAAAATTCCACCTGTTAAAAAAAAAGTTGCAATATGATTTCCTAAACTGTTCTTTGGAAATTGAATCTAATCTGAAATAGTATTAATCGCATAGATATTTAGATTGTGTATTTTATAAAGAAGTACACATCCGATGCAAACTTCTAGCTGTAACTGTACTTGACAATTCCAGGACTCCTTCCAGAACATGTGGCATACATAAAATGCTTTTAAAACTTTAAAGCACTGTTTTTTATTTTCTGCAGCAAATCTGACAAACACTGTAAGTATGTACACATGCATTTGATAATACAAACAAAGATTTTATGGCTAAGGTTGTTTACCCACCCAAAACAATTTTCATGAATCTGTGCCGCTTTCATTTTAGTGACAATGCTGATAACTTGCTCCACCGGGCATTTGATTCCAACAGATGCCAAATAGCAATACCTACCCCACTTCTTATCGGTCACAAAGTGAAACTAATAGGTAGTAACTTTAAAACTAACAAAGAGAGGTTCTTTTTTCATCCAGTGTGTAATTAAAGTGTAGAACTCATTGCTGCCAGATGTTGTGGAAACTGACAGTTTAGCCAGATTCAAAAAAGGATTAGACAGCTTGGAGGAAAGGGGCATCAGCAGCTAGTGAGCATGGGTGTCAGGGACACAGTCTATGAATTGGGATTTCCTAGACCTTAAACGCTGGAGATTGAGACAGGAGCAGTGGAAAAACTAGGACTGTGGCAAGCTTTGGTGGCTGATTTGATCTGGAGGAGATTTGGCCCAATTTGGGGACCGAATCTCTGAATCTGAATCGAATCAGGAGACCAAGTTAAAGCTCTGAATCAATTTAGAAAAGCTTCAGCCGATTTGGACATAGATTAAACAGGTAGCTGACAGCTGCCTCCAGCTGGTAAGTCTGTTGGGCCTGGGGAAGGGAAGGATTGGGGCTGTGACAAGTTGCTTAGCTGGGATGGGGGCGTGTATTACTTGAGGAGGGGGCGGGATGCTGAAGCAGCAGCACTGGGAGCGGGGGCTCTGCCCTTCTCCCGCTTGCCTAGCTAGGGTTGGAGGGCGGGGACACAGGATGCAGGCGCAGCTTGCTCTGGGTGGAAGGGGGCAAGCAGCACCAGGGCATAGCCCCTGTTGTCAGTGCTGCCGCACCTGCATCCCGTGTCCCGGTTTGAGTCCCCAGATCCTGGTTTAATTTCCCAGGGAGCTGGGGTGGCCCATGTGTCAGTCGGAGCCCAGCACCACTCAGCCACAGTGGTGCCAGCTCCCAGACTGCATGCCGTGCCCATAGGACAGCTGCTGTGCAGGTGTCAGGGGTGGGGGGTGATCCCTGCTGCCCCTACTGCCCCGCTCTATGCAGGGGTGCCAGTGCCCAGAAGCCCTGATCACTGCTCCTGCAACCGGTGAATGCAGGTGGTTTGTTTGTTTGTTCTTTAAAGTGCTTGGACTAGGTTGGGGCTGGGCAGAGGGATGGGAGCCAGGCAGGGCAGCCATGGGGGCTTCTCCTGCAGCTCTTCCCGTCTGATCCAAATCACTGCCAAACCGATTCAGAACAGTGATCCAAATCAAATCACTGTCCTCCGAATCAGCCAAATCTGAATAGAGTACTTCCCTATTCGCACAGGCCTAGGCAAAACCCCTTGTCATACCCAATTCACTCTCCCTTTCAGCATCCACTCTCTGCCACTGAGAGACTCAGGATACTGGGCAAAGATGGATTTACTATCTGACCCAATAAATAGCAGTTCTTATGTTCCTGAAACAACAGTCATACAAATCATTAATGGCAACCTGAGGTCAATTTGCACATCTGACTATCACACAATCCTTGTATTTTAAAATTAATTCTGTATTTATACTGCTGAAATCTCTGTTAAAATTTTTCCATGTGGTTAGAGTAGCTGCATTTGAAGAGACACGATAGCAAAGCACCATCTCTTGTTTCATAGTTTCTAGGGTCGGAAGGGACCTGAGCAGATCATCTAGTCCGACCCCCTGCCTTGGCAGGAAAGAGCACTGGGGTCAAACGACCCCAGTAAGGTGGTCATCCAACCTCCTCTTAAAAACCCCCAGGGTGGGAGCCTGCACCACCTCACTTGGAAGCTGGTTCCAGACCTTAGCCGCCTTGACCGTGAAGTAGCGCCTCCTGATGTCCAACTTAAACCTTCCCTCCGCCAGCTTGTGACCATTGCTCCTGGTCACTCCTTGCGGCACTCGGGGGAACAGAGACTCCCCCAGCGCCTGCTGATCCCCCCTAACCAGTTTATAACAGGCCACAAGATCCCCCCTCAGCCTTCTCTTTTGAAGGCTGAACAGGTTCAGGTCCCGCAACCTTTCCTCATAGGACCTACCCTGCTGTCCCTTGATCATACGAGTGGCCCTCCTCTGGACCCTCTC